ACTTTCATCGGGGGCAGAACTTGAGAGTAATCACAGCCCCAAATCAGAGCTGACTACAGAGGGCACTAAAAGGGTATGAGAAGTCAATGCTTTTATGGAGACGCCGTGGTGCCAAACAACAAATACAAACTCATATGGATGTTGATCTACAGCCTGTCCGCTATTCAGTTCCCTCTGCTTTTATTTTTTTCTTCCTACGGCTGTGTAAAACGATCAATAGCAAGGGCACATTAAGGTCTGGGTCGTATACTTTATTTATATAAGGCAATGACATATCCTTATGATGCAATGGTTTTTGGAGGCATGTATTACTGCGCCAAACAAATAAATATATGTATGCTCGCTGGGGAGGTGGAGAGATTGACGGAACAACGGGAAACGACAAGCGCCCCAAATCCATCACGGCGATCTTTCAAAAGGAATGCGCCCGCGATTTTGTCCACTTCCTTCTTATTCAGCATTTCAATTAATGTCCCTGCTTCCCTCTCCTTCACTTACAGCCATAACTCAGGGTGGGATTACGGAGAGAACCGGTGTTTTGCATATGGAGGGTCTGTCGCTTAAATCAGAATCAAACGAGCGTAGGAGAAGAAAAGAGCCACAAGCAGCAGGGGGAATTGACTTTACCCAGTATTTTATTTTATGACATTGAGTTTGAGCCACTTTTAAAAGATGAAATAGAAAGCCATCATCACATGATATAGGTTCATTGAAAATGGATGCTTTAAGAGCAGTAAATAATATAGAGATCTTAGTTTAGCTTGATTTCTGATTCCTTTCAGCGTCAGTTGGATATTATGTGAAACATTTTGCACTAAAGGTAAACAATTCTCCAATGAATGTGAGACGTGCAGGAAAATAAACCGTATGACGGAAATGTTTTTTTCCCCTTCATATCATATTGGTAACAGCTTTGTTTTATTTGTAATAGCCTTTTTAGTGGTGTTAATGATTATTTTGATTTTTTTTGTAATTTTTTTTTTTTTTTTTTTTGTCTTTCATGACCATTTTTGAATATATATATATATCTTACTTCTATGCATTTTTTCACTTTTTGTGAAATACAAATATTTTCTTTAAATACAAAATATTTCAATAAAGTTTTTTTGTATTCCTTTCAAGTAATGTACAGTATATGCACAAACAGTTGCTGGTAAGTATGAGTATGTCCTGCTCTTTTAATTGAGTGTAAATAGAGCATCTTTGGGTTGCAGACAAAATCAGCAGTTTGTGGACATCACTTTTCCTTCTGGAATATTGTCGTTGGTTGATTTCGAAAGCAATGCTGCAGATGAATTGATAATTCAAATATCTGCAACCTGCAGACAGAATCCCCATGTGTTCAAACACACACCACTTCAGTGTGAGGGAACGTACTGAATGACATTTGGTTTCTCTTTTACAGACAAGCATGCACGAGCCCTCCCACCATGATGTCATCAGCATCACTGACACTTTATTAATGGGGGACTGTAAAGAGAAGAGCAGAGGAACACACACCTGTCTCTCAGCAGAGAAACACACACACCTGTATCCCAGAAGAGAAACACACACATCTGTATCCCAGAAGAGAAACACACACATCTGTATCCCAGAAGAGAAACACACACACCTGTATCCCAGAAGAGAAACACACACATCTGTATCCCAGAAGAGAAACACACACACCTGTATCCCAGAAGAGAAACACACACATCTGTATCCCAGAAGAGAAACACACACACCTGTATCCCAGAAGAGAAACACACACACCTGTATCCCAGAAGAGAAACACACACATCTGTATCCCAGAAGAGAAACACACACACCTGTATCCCAGAAGAGAAACACACACACCTGTCTCCCAGCAGAGAAACACACACATCTGTATCCCAGAAGAGAAACACACACACCTGTCTCCCAGCAGAGAAACACACACATCTGTATCCCAGAAGAGAAACACACACACCTGTCTCTCAGCAGAGAAACACACACATCTGTATCCCAGAAGAGAAACACACACACCTGTCTCCCAGCAGAGAAACACACACATCTGTATCGCAGAAGAGAAACACACACACCTGTATCCCAGCAGAGAAACACACACATCTGTATCGCAGAAGAGAAACACACACACCTGTATCCCAGCAGAGAAACACACACATCTGTCTCCCAGCAGCCACCTGCTGTCACTCTCTAACCTGCTCTCAGGATTCTGTCTGGAAAACTGCATCAATTCCAAAGATGTCTTTTTTTGAGAACTAGTTATGATAAACAATATACCTATATATATATATAATATATCCGAATGTGTAACATACCACAACTCATCTAAAGCTATGGGGGATGTGGCCTAAATCAGAATCAAACTAGTGTAGGAGGAAAAGGGGTTACGGTTAAGGAAGTGATTTCACAGTTCGAGCTACTTTGAAAAGCTGAACTAAAAAGCCAACTAAATCTTAATAAAGGTTTCAATTCTGAAGACACATCTTTCTCTGAGAATGAGTTGTGAGCATGTTAACACGACCTGTCCTCTGTGTGTTTGTTGTAAATAAATCAGTTGGGGTAACTTCCCAATTGCGTACGATACATAACACCACTTATCCAAATCTACAGTAGAGGGGCTGTCGCTTCAATCAGAATCAAACAAAGAGGAAACAAGTCTTCAGGGTAGGGTTAGCCTGCTACTAATAAAAGCTGAAATAGGAAGCTATCATCATTTGAATTTAGGCTAAATTCCAAAAATATGTATTTTTCTGAGAGTTAGTAATAAGCATGTAAACAAGATACCTGTCTTTCTTTTAATCAATTCAATTCAAGGTAAGTTGTGATATTTGACACTACTCATCGGAAGCTTCAGAGGGGTTGTTGTTTCATTCAGAATCAAATAAGTGTTGGAGGAAAAAAGGAGTTGGGGTAGGTGCGTCTTTTATAAGATGAAGTAGAAAAGCACCATCATTTTGATTAAGGTTATATTCCAAAAATACATTTGTTTTTTGGACATAGTAATGAGCAAATACATTTACCTGTCGTCTGAGGAATAACTCAGTTGGGTTACCTTTCTACATTTGGTACAATCCATAACAGCACTGAAGGGCTTTGGATCCTCAGTCAGGATGAACAGAGTGAGGGTTACCTTGCTACTTTTAAATGCTCAAGTAGAAAGCTATCATAATCTTGATGTAGGTTGAATTAAAAACAACACAGGTTTCTTTTTTGAGAATTAGTTATGAGCGTGTAAACAAGATACCTGTCCTCTGTGTTTGTTGTAATTTATTCAGTTGGGGTATCTTTCCAAATGTGTTCAAATACAAATACACTACTCAACTATGGCTATGGATGAGTTGCCGTTTATTTACAAAAACAAATCTTCTTTTTCAGAATTAAAAAAAACGGAGAGCTGGGACTCGAGCAACTGGTTTGGGTGGCGTTCTGTCCGGCCCAAGATCCCCGTGTAATAGGATTCCTCAAAGCTGCAGATGGATGGCAAATCTAGGCGGTTTCATCTACTAAAAGAGGGCATAAATCACGGGCAGAGGAAGCGGGGACGAGGCAGGGGTTATCACCAGTCTGCCTCCCTCATGAGAGCTTTGCATTAAAGCATTAGTGAAATTAATTCATCTTTCATAAGAGGTTTGAGCAGTATCTGTGATCTATGATAACAACCAATTTCTCACTACGGAGGGGCCGGAGGGAGGCGGAGGGAGAAAAGAAAAATACTCGGCGACCCTGATAGACTACACAAATCTGCTCTTTTTAAATGGGCTAACATTATCTGGAGTGCTGCTCTCTGGAGCATCATCCCAGATTCATATCCCAGCCGGGAAAGAGGCATAAATCACCGGGCAAAACTTTTCTCATCTGCCCTCCCCCCCCCCTTACACACACACACACCTTCTTTCTCCCTACATCACTCCCCTCATCCCTCTCACGCTGCCAGGTTTGTTTTGTGGTTTTCGGTGCTTGTCCCGTTAAACGCAGAACAATGCTTTCTGCTGTAATCATTTTAAATGGCTTTGCGCCTCAATCAGTGTAATTGGTTTTAGATCATCTGTGGAATGGGAAAGTGGGAGATGTTTGTGTGCGTGTCTAGGGTGGGGAGTCGTGCAGTGTGTGAAAGAGACGGAAATTGGGGGGAAGTGTGTGAAGGGGCCGTATCCATCTGTTTTGCATATATTTGCTCGGGGGGCCGTCGGAGCATGGTTGACAGATGAGTGGGGAGTGCAGGGATGACACACGGCGGTCCTGCTCTTTATTACTATATCAGCACAGCCATGCTCAGCTCCCTCTGATAACACAGAACCAGAAACACAGCGCAGTGAGCGGAGAATTGCAGCGCGGGACACAGTCAGGACTTTCTCCGTCAGCGTTTGATTTCTTTTTGACTGATTTGTCTTCAAATCAGCCGTGTGTGTGAGCCGGGAAAAAACACGACTCCAAATCAGGAACATACACAAAAAACGAAATGGCTTTTGGAAATTGATTTGATAAAAAGTACTAAAAATGAAATCTAGTTTTGGGGGGAAATGTATTAAGTTTGGCATTTAAAAACTCAATAGATCAAGTGATTATATGACTACTTTTTCATTCAAAACATCAACATTCATTAGCTCAGTCTAAAGGATATTGTATTTGTCTTCAAATGAGTGAAACCTTTGTGGATTTCCTTGAACTAGGAAGAAAAATGACTCTAAATCAATAAGATATACTAAAAACTAAATGGCTTTGGGAAATGAATTTGAAAGAACTACAGTACGTCAAATAAATCTAGTTATTGTGGAAAGTGAAGTTTAGCATTTAATTACTCAATAGGTCAATCCAAATGCATTGGTTTGAGGCCAAAGGCTACTGTACTTTAACAACTGGTTGGTTCATTTTCCTTTTTTAAATAAGCAGCTTTATTAAACCTGCATACTGAATGTGAAGAAGTGTGTTCCTTTGTCACAGCACGTCTCAGCAGGAAGCTGTCATCACATGATAACGCCAGCATCAGTGAGCAAAGTGTGCTCAGTATTACCCACCTCAGGGAAGTAGTCCTGGGGAAACTTCTCCTTCTCCAGCGAGGGGGTGCTTTCTAGTGTCTCTGAGTACGTTTCCTTCCCCACGACCTTCTTGAATTTCTTGGCTGAAGTGGATTTTGAAGAGATAGAAGGAAAGGGGGAAGGAGGTGAGGACAGAAAGGGAGAAAAAGTGTATTGTTACAAACATGGTTAATTTTGAGAACCCTGTATGATCCCCTGATACAATCACTGAAACAGCTTCCTCAGACAACTGCACCACCTGCTGGTCAGAATGAAGAACATCTGTATCTGAACATAGGTGAGTGTGAGAGGTCACTACACTGGGAAGATAAGAAGCCTTTCTTTGTATTAACAGGGGGAGGGGGAGATATGACCCTGAACATGTCCACATCCCTCTGTGTTTCCTACAACGTCAACACGATACCTGTGCCAAACCCAGGTCTACCTTAAAGACTCCTAATGCATGTCTGTCTGTCATTGGAGATGGTACATCTTTTTCTTGAAGGGTATTGAATATTGATTTGTGATTTTGAACGCAATGCATAGTGATGTGAGGGAGGACTGCCAATAAATAAGATCAATTTTCATTCTTTCCATCATTTAAGACATGTCACAGTAGAAAAAGCATGAACAAATGGCTGTTTTCCATTTACAGGGTTCCAACGGTTTCCATATCAGCATTTCTGGAATTTGTCCAGAACCACATTTCCAGACTGGTAGATTTTTCTTAGACGATATTTGACATTGCAGTACAAATAGCTAGAGGTTTGTAAAGAAATAGTTGGTGCAGTGCCTATTCCCTTGCATATGGCCTCCCCCAACCCTAACCCATGTTGAATGATTTTAGACAAAGTTTGCATCAAGCTTTCTTTTAGTGGCCTATTTTGACCTAACCCTTTCACTTGGGGGCAGAACTGTTTTCTAGACTGTGACTCTGAGGCGGGCTCTTTGAAGGACCATGCATTTGGTTCCTTTCGTGATATTAAGATGCTCTAGCCTGTGCTCTCTCAAACAGGGACTGAGATTTTGCTTCTAACGCCAAGCAAAACACTCAAACTGATCAGTTTAATTCGGAATTCTATACTTTAGAAAACAAAATAGGAGAAATAGTCTGCAAACAGATATTTGACATACTCTCTTATCTGTTTTCCATACTTATCAAGAACTGGAAATGCCTAAGTTCCATACATCCATAGTGCATGGGGACTCGTTGTCAGATTTCTGGTATGGTGTATACTGGTTCACTGTCACATACTTGGACAGATTCAATAACACCTGTGCTATTCTTTTCCTCTTCTCAACCCTAACCCTATCACACGACAATATGACTGAAGCGACCTATTAAAGAAAAAGTCAACAAAGCATTACAGAATGTTTTGTATTTCATGTATTTCTGATCTTTAAAGTGTGTGTGTGTACATGAGGAGTGGTCCTCTCCCCTCTCGACCCCCACCCCCCTGCCGTCGCCCTGTCCTTCACTGGGGTAACTGGTGCTAATGCTGACTTGGGTCTAATAAGAAGCGAGGCTCCTCCACATCTATATCCCTTCTTTAATTAGCGCGGCCGCCGGCCCCCGGGGCCCTCTGACACCGCAGCCTGATGAGACCGCCGTAACTGTCCAATAACCCGCCGCACACCATTACTGAAGGCCCGAAATCTTATGAATTAAATCCTAATATTAATAAGCATTACCATTCTGTCCCCCTCCCTTTACATTATCCTCAAAGCCAATCTTAGCGCGCTGCTTTCTGATGGAAGTGGGAATAGCCTGCAAATGGTTGTGTGGGATATGCAGGGGTGGGATTAGGGGGCACGCTGTGAGGATTTCATTTCCACACAGTGGGGATGATGTATATGTGGAAGTGTGTTGCGGAGGGGGTTACTCACCTTTGAAATCAAACTGCTGGATGTTTTTCAACGACTCGTGGATAAAGTAGAAACTTCCCAGAGCCTGCGGGAGGAAACAAGCATGTGTGAGATTGGACACGTTTTCCGTCAATGGTTCCATACAGATATTTATTTCTTTACTGGGTCTGGATACGCTACAGGATGTGTATCAAGACAGACAAGATGTATCAAGAATCTCCACATATAGGGTAGGAGAAAACTAGTGTAGGAGAAAAAAAGACAGTTAGGGTTACCCCGCTACTTTGAAAAGCTGAAGTAGAAAGCCACCATACTGTATTCTTGATAAAGGTTACATTCCAAAAACAAGTCTTTTTTGGATCTTTAGAACACATTTCCCAACACCTGTGCCAAATGTCCAACCTGTTTAAAAGCTATCACATTTTTCTTCTGGTTTTAGAGAACCCTGTTCAGAACCATTTCATGTCAAGAGTGCAAAGGATTGCCCCAATGTGAGAATGCTTGGCTTCATTTCTTTAAAGGATATGGATGCGCCTACAGGATACGTATCAAGACAGACAAGATGTATCAAGATTCTCCACATAACAGGGTAGAATAAAAATAGTGTAGGACAAAAAAATATTTCGGGTAACGGTTAGGGTTACCTCGCAACTTTTAAAAGTAGAAGTAGAAAGCAACCATACTCTTGATTAAAGGTGGGGTAGGTAAGTTTGAGAAACCGGCTCGAGATACACTTTTTGTTATATTCCATGGAATGCTCTTAACATCCCGATAGCAATGAATATCTTAAGTGCTTTGACAAAAAATCCATAACAAAATGTCATCTGTGGAAGCTGTAATACTGTAAAAAGCACGACCAATCATTTTAGCCGGCCCGGCTAAAATAACTGGATGGCCTACCTGCCTGTCAGCCTTCCATCTGTGCACAAACTTATCTCGTGCCCTCATTGGTCATGTGCGCGTTCGTGTGTGTTGGAGGAGGGGCTCTGTAAGGAAGTGGCAGATTTTTTCCGGCTGTGTATTTTCAAATTCTAGCGATCTCGAGCTGGTTTCTCCAAAATTACCTACCCCACCTTTAAGGTTTAATTCCAAAAACACAACATTTCCCACCATGTTTGCCACATTTCCAACCCATTGAAAAGCGACAGTTTATCACATTTATCTCAGGTATTAAGATTGAGCTGGCAGTGGCTAATGTGGTTACCATTGTACCATTACATTGAAATGTGAAAGGTTAAATAATAAGGAATTCACCCAGAAGGCAAAGTGCTGTGTGGGTAGAATTTGAAATGTGAATGTATCTGCAGGCTACATGTAACAATTCATGTGTACATACAGCATGTCTTTGTATACAGATGTATTTGTTCTTTTTCTGCTTGTTCAAAAATAAAAACATGTGAAAAATGGCATCAACTTTAAGCCTTGATCTCCTTTTAATACACATTCGGTTGATGGTTAAAGTACTAGGTTGATTCAGTAAGAAGTTTAAGGAAACTGGTAAACGTGTCATTATGATTTGTGAAAAGAAATACAAATAATAGCAATAATATTAAGATAAAATAAAAAATATTAAGTTCAACTTAAATTAACTTAATAGTATTGCTTTCAACTAACCTAATGTGAAACCTGTTGAGATAATACATTTAATTAAAGTCAACGTTTCAGTTTTTCAGTGCCCAAGAACCCTGTTCATAACCCTTTCATGCCAAGCGTGCGAAGGCTTGACCTGATGTGAGAATGCTGGGCTAATGAAGTGGGCTGATAGAGCCTCTTTAACACACTCCAAAGCACACTTCCAATGGGAAGCCCCCGACACTACACACCGGGGACTACACACCAACAGGTGCAGCGTGCTCTGGTACAGTACACTCCGTGATCTCGGGCACCGAGTCTTCCAACTTGGCGAGTCAACAATTTGAGCTCTCAAAAGGACACATTCAGATGGACTTTTCAATGAGCACAGATCGACTTCAATAGGCTTAAAATCTTAATTTTCCCTGTGAACAATCAGGAAACTTTCCCAGTCGGCGGACGAGCCAATCAAAGTCTGTGGGAAGAAGTGCAAGTGGCGCAGAGGGGGATTGGATGCGGTTCACAGTCCACTACACTTGCCCTCTTTACATTTAGGGCAAATGGAGGCAAAGCTCAAGCTCAATCCCCCGTCTGGGAGATAGCAGACGTTGGGATAGGGATCATTCTGCTCAAAGAGGGTGAGGAGTATGTTGTTTTTTTTACTTCCAAATAAAACAAGAGAGAAATAATTAGGCTGAGATAGTACAGTGAAGCTGCAAAGGTAGAAGATTCAGGTACAGTAGAAGAAAGAGGAGTGGTGAGGTGGGATTAAAGGGGTGTGATCAAAAGGAGGAGGAGACTGGTGTAGAAGAAAAGGATTTAGTCTGGGAGCTTTTCCCCGTGTTCTCTCATTGAGGCCGGGTGCAGACGCCTCTCTGCGCGGCGGGAGAGTTCTCGCTCCGGCCTCTGCATTATTTATGAGCGCCGGCACATCTTGAGATTAAACATTTGCTGATTTGTCAAAAGCACAAACATGAGGTCCTGCCCATCTCCTTGACATATAAGTTCAGCCGTCGGAAAACACTGTCGCACATTTAATTGATGAGAACGGCGGCTGGTGACCCCAAACCCCTCCGCCGCCGCCGCGCTCCCCCCCCCCCCCCCCCGCCTGACTCATTCCTTCTCCAGAGGACAGAGGGAAAGGGGGAGGGGAGAGGGGACGGTGCTGGGCGAAGGCAGGACTCAAGGTCACAGCTTCCCATCGCGAGAGGACGGGTTCCAGGAAGGCCCCCCGAACACTTATTGGTGCTCGCTTGTCTTTTATGTTCTCTTTCACCTTAAAGTGGCGACAACAGACTTGGAGACAGAGATGGATAGCAGAGCAGGCGGAGGGAGGGGAAACCGTGCTATTTGTCAAAACGCTGCCACTATGCTAACTGATGCTGTCTGTGGAAATATTTCAGTGGGCAGTGAAGGAAAAATGACTATTTTGAAATATGACACATGGAGATAAAATGATATATGTGTCAAGGTATTAGATAGTAAACAGCACAAGTGCAATTTCAAAGTCAAAGTGCTCCTGCTGAGAACAATATATATTGATTAGCTGCATAATGAATACCTACAGATCTTTATAAATAATGAAATCATGAAATCATTGGATAAAGGGAATATTGAGAAGAAATGACTTTCTGCTGCTTGAATATTTATATAAAGTTGTCCTGCTATTCTCTGTGTATATATGTATTATCTTAAATATATAGAGCTGGAACTAATAGCCGACTGATCAATCGACAGAGATAATCAACAACGTTTTTGGTTGCTTAGTATTTCATTGATTAATCATTAAAGTCATTTCTGTTGATGCAACAAATGCTGTGTTCAGCCTCTCAATGACAGAGATGCCTTTTCTGTTCAAATCATATTAGGGTGAATATCTTTGGCTTTTGGACAAACAAATAAGACATTTAAAGATAGCACATTGAGGCACTTGGATAAACAGTAATCACAATGTTCTGACGTATCATTGACTAAATGTAATTGAAAATATACTGGGCAGATGAATCGATAAAGGAATAGATGTTGTTGGCAGCCCTACTGACCAAAAAAAAGAAAGTTATTTCACATTTAGTTCTGCAAAATCAGAAAAAGGAATATTCTTTTTTGAAAAAGAAAATGATCAAGCCGTTTTCAAATCTCTACTTGACCCCAAATCCTGAGGGATGGATGTCTTCAACTGCGAACACAACAGAAGCACTTCAGAAAGAAATGATGAAAGCCTGAACTGTATCCCTCTCTGATACTGTCTCTCTTTAGGCTCATCCCTCTTTGCTACAAACTCACATCAAAAATGAAAATGACATTAAACAAATCGGCATGAATCAATTTTCAAATAAATGATAAACAACTACGCTTAAGTGGCTATCCGTGTAATCGCAAAAATCTACTTAACCCTCCACCCTAATAAATATGTATTTGACGTGGAGGTTCAGGAGCTAGCAGCTGCTGCCCCCCCCCCCCTCTGCCTCCCTGCTGCACTCTTCATGAAGAAGCTATTATATTAGCAGGGCGCAATTAATCCATTTGTCTCCTTACATGACAGGCTCAAAATATTCATTAGGGCCGGACTGCGCTGACAGGCCATGCTTATCTTGAACCAGTCGCTTTACAATGGCCTGTGTCAAACGTATGTTTGTCACGTCCCTCTTTATTGATTAGCTGCCAGATTCACTTGAAATAATTAAAAGTATATTTTACATATTTATAAACCCCACTGCCACGGCGGCTACTTAATTTTCCATTAGTAAAATGCAGTCTATTAAGTGCACCACGAGGGCCACGGTGTGGGGGGGTTATGGGAAATGAGTAATCACCATAATTGTAGACACAAAGACAATAAGCGCCATAAAAGCTGGGGTTTTATGACTGCTCATGGCAATGCTATCTCTTATCACGAGTCCTTTTGGCTACACCGATAAGGGCACACTGATTCTGTGCTCGTGTGTGTGTGTGCTCGTGTGTGTGTGTGTGTGTGTGTGTGTGTTCCTACAAGTGTGTATTTGACATTTCCAAAAGCCCAGCAGATGTGGGCTGAACAAGTCCCAATAGACTGGCTGCTGGAAAATAGAGAGTTGAGCGCTGCAGTACATAGCCTGCACACTGTGCTCCGCTGAATGCTTTATCGATACCGGGGGCTGCAAGAATTAGTTCTGTCCGACCAAGAGAAGCAGGAATTCTGTGACCTCTGAATAGATTTTCTGCGTTTAATGTGAAAAATGAGCCATAAAGCAAACATAAAAGTAATCATTTTTCTTCAAGGTCTCACCTCCAATCTGTGCTAAGGGAGAGTGTCCAGTCCCAGGAGAGCTGACACACACACACTCCGGTGTCATCGCAGTGTCACTGTACGACTGCCCGGGGTAATGTTCTGCTGGACCCTGGCAGAGTGCTGCTGATGGTGGCGCAGTGTGGAGGTGTGCGTGTGCTTCTGCAGGGCGTTTTACAATACATGATGCGCTCAGAAAGCACTTGAACAAGGGGAGCTTACTGGAGATGTGCTCAATATCATGTTTT